AGTTCAGGGAAAAACACTTACCTGATCTGGAAGGATTAAAGATGGCTTCCTGGAGAGGTTCCCCTCAAGATGAGTACTCTAAAATGAGTAAATGTCAGCCGGTAAAGGGAGGTGGAGTTAGGGAGGAGGCATTCCAGGCATCAGGGGCTGCAGAAGCAAAGGCACAAAGGAGAGAAAGCACAGGGACTACAGAGAGCTAGGATTTGAACCCAGGTTTGCCCGATTCCAAAGCCTGAAGACACCCCCATGTGTGGGGTGCTGCAGGACTCTGTTTTACGCCAATGTGCACCAGGGCTTACACAAAGTATCCATTCAAACTTATTAGATAGGCAGATAATAGTTATTTTGCAAATATCAGTATCATATATGTATATATAAATACATAGGTATATATAAATACATATATGTATATATAAATACATAGGTATGGTACACACACACACATTTTTATATAAATTATTTTCTAAAGAAATAAAAATCCCCATAGCCTCTCAAACATACTGTATGCCCAACACCGACACGCCACAGACCAGCAATCTAAAAATGTAAACACCAGGTTCAACTTCCTTCTGTGTATAGATCTGGAAATAAATCTTCTGCTATTCTGTGGCATAATTGTAATTTTGAAATTTATTAGGAACGAGGATGATGTAATTCTGCACTATCTTAAAAAAAAAAACCCTCAAAACAACCTGCTATGGACTGTTTGCCTGTGTCAACTTCTCTGTGTACATTGCCTGAGCATATTCTGAGCGAGCATCACCGTAGCATTTGCCAATAAAATGACAAGGATAATACTAATAACATATGTTTGTTGAGCATTTTCGGGAAAGGCCCCATGTTCACCCAATAATCAACAGTCAGTGGGGTGGGTGCTATCACTGGCTTCCTTTTGTAGGTGAGTGAACTAAAGCTTAGAGTTTTTAAATAACTTTGTCCAAATAATAGCTGATAAATAGGGCTCCAGAATATAAACCCACAGTGGCTGACTTCTAAGCTTTCTCTTTCCACCGCGGATCATTTTCTTGGCATAGGACCCGAGTATCCACACTATCTATTCTACATTATTGCTCCCTGAGCAGCAGCCAGGGTTGAGAGGCTCTACTTTTTAACACATCGCATAGTGAAGACATTGACCAATAAACAAATCTTAGAGTTTATCATCTATCTATTATTGTTTATCTGACTTGTATATTTAGGAAGAAGACAGTTTACCATTGATAAACCATTGTGAGTGGCTTCACTTCAAGCTTCAAAGTCACTTAAGTTGATATATACGCTAAGAACTTTTAATTTGTATGAGTCAGGGATTTCTCTCTCCCAGGAAAAATCAAAGAGAGAAACAAATTACATGCTGATATTTATTATGACTTCACAGGAGAACCAGCCTCAACCAAGTTAAAATGGTGTATAAAATCGCTGGGGGTGTAATGACTTGGGAAAGGGGTTTCAGGAGAAGGAGTGATGCAGAAAAGATGGTCAGGACCTGGCAAAGATAAATTTATGTCCTTTGAATACTTTTTTACTGCTGACCATATACTCAATAACCTGTATTGGAAAATGCACATGTACCTTATCTTAAAAAAAAAAAAAACAAAAACAAAAAAAAACACTTCGGTCTGATTCTTATGTCATCTAGATTATTTGAGTGCAGCATTCAAAATATCTCTTTGGAGAGTTATTTTATGAGTACACTTAATAGTCTGCTAAATTTAAAAACAAATCATTCTTCATACATCTTTACACACTGAAGTTAAAGTTCAAGCTCTTGTTGACAATGTTCAATTAAACAGAAACTATGACTCACCAGAATCTGCAATGGGTTAGAGTTCACATGGTTTGCCTTATGTTTTTGGCAAGTATTTATGACTCTCTGAAGACCGGATTATTGAGTTTAAGAATCAAGTTTAAATGGGAATGGGTCTTCTAGTCTATTGATCTCTTAAGATGGCTTTATTATTATCAATAATAAATAAGTTCCAACACACTTCCTTGCTAATGTGTCTATTTTTATCTCTTCCTCAGTGGTACTTTATAAAAATTCTCCTCTTTGAGAGGAGAGTGGAAAAGGAGACTGTTTTGATTGGAAATTGGCTGGACTTGAGGAAAGGAATGTTATGCCATTGCAGTCATTTTCTTGGCCTTTACCATAACACAGTATATCAAGTTAAGATTCTTTCCGTGGATGCAACCAAGAATTATTCTCCAAGAGGATTTATCAGAAGATTATCTGGGATTCATGGAATACACTAGAGACTGGAGAAGTTAATTTGGAAATGGACAGTGAGGCAGCTCCAGGGTCTGGTAAGCAAGAACCCCAGTAAGACCAAGAGCGGTCTGATCATGATTTTACCATGTAGATGTCATGGAAATCCACATGTTTTCACTGTTTTCTACTAACGATTCTGCTAAAGATCACTGTCTTTCTCATTCTGGTAAAGGTCCAAATTCCAAAGAAAGACTTTCTGAAAATCTTAGCTTGGTTTACCAACCTGTCTATTTAGCTAGGGGGAACGGCAGGGGTCTATCTTTTCCCTATAGTTCCAACAAACTATATCCAGAACTATGGATACCCATAACGATGTTGGAATGCGACATTTCTCAAAAGCTAATTGAATGCCAGTTGGGAAATGGATTCTGGACAGCTAAAAGACAAAAATGCTTTCTTCATGAAGGAGTGAAAGCTGGAATAAAGCTGGAAATATGGAAAGACAAAATGAGTCTTTCTTCTTGTTTCACTGAGAGGGTGGGTTATGGGCTATCTCTTATTATGAGTATTAAAAACATAGGCTACGAGGCCATAACGTTGAGTAAAAAAGGTAGAATTATCTGAGTCATGAACTTGTCCCAAGAAAAATGTGGAATCAATATTAAAACCTGAGTATTAATTTAAAATAGATGTAAGACAAGGATGACTCTTATTACCACTATCAGTATTTCTTTGGAAATTCTGACTAATAAAGTATAACAAAGAATATAAATAAAAATCATAACTATTGGACGGGAGATAAAATTTAGCATTGTTTGAGGATAATATGACTATAGAGTAGAAGCCCAAACAAATCAATGGAAAAGCTAAAATCAATTTTACTGCATGCCAGCAATAATGGGTACCAAAACACATAATGGCTTAAAAAAAGATTTATTCACAATAGGCAAAACACACATACACAAAAGTACAAAATGTCTAGGAATAATTTTAAGAATAATGTGTGGGAGCAAATGGAGAACACCACAGAAACTTGCTATAATGTACAGAAAGCTGTGTAAATGCTTTTGTTCCCTTTTTAGAATCTGACAGAATGGTCTCAGCTAAAAAAAAGTCAAGGTAATTTTTGACACTAGGAGTAAATAATGACAATTTGTCTTATACACTCAATGAAAAGGTAACTTGTGTTTTTTAAATGTACCAGAACAAAACTCTAGTCAGATCAATGAAACAAAACATGTAGTCTTGAAATAGACTGTGAGAGCTAGAAGGATTTAACATATCCTCGGAGATCATCAAGTTTGTGAACACACATTTGCATGCAAGAAGGTGTGTTTTAATTTCATTTAAAATTAGCTGCCTTACCCTAACGTACTCATGAGCATAAGTCTCTTTTATTAAATAAATAAATCCGAATCCCTAGGGTTACTCCCCATGCAACAGACAACTTGAAGCCTGTATGAGAAACAGTTCAACTGGAAATCAGTGCTTATAATTAAGAATGGTTGCCCACTCCTGTTAGGGAATCTCATTTGAAACTATCATTTGTTCTTTTTTTTCTTTTTTTTTCTTTTTTTTTTTTTAACGTTTATTTATTCCTGAGAGAGAAAGAGGCAGAGCATGAGTCGGGGAAGAGAGAGAGGGCAGAGAGAGAGGGAGACACAGAGCCCGACGCGGGGCTCAAACTCACAAGCTGTGAGATCATGACCTGAGCCGGAGCCGGAGGCTCAACCGACTGAGCCACCCAGGCGCCCCTGTTCCTTTTTTTCTTTGTGTGGATGCCATCTTAACAGGCATGGCATGTCTATTCTGATTGTACCTTTTGTTAATCCCTCATGCTTGGCTGCGCTGATGGATGGCTGTTTCTCTTTCGATGCAGCCTGGAACCCAACAAGTGGATTTGTCTTACTTCCTAGAGCTTGTATTTTGAGTCCTGCCATACCAGGCACAACCTTGAAATACAGTGAAATCCTTTCAGACACTTTCCTAACTTTCAGTAGCAGGTAACAGACAGAAACTTGGTTTCATTTCCATTAGTAAAAAACAAAACAAAACAAAAAAGAAACTGAAGTCTAAGTGGTCAACAGAGAAATGGTCTAAAAAAATCTTTGTGCATCCATACATTGTAACATTATACAGTTACCAAAAAATTATGTTGTCAAGAATTTTAAGTTTTTTCAGGAGGTGAACTATGAGTGATATCTTTATTTTCATTTTGTTTCTATACGATATTTTATTTTTATTTTTTCCTTATTTTCCAAATTTCCGCAAGTATGAGAATCAAGAAAGCATATTATAAAAAGATGAAAATCAAAATATTTTAAAAGTGGAATATATATTAATAAGAATTCATGATAAATAGCAAATTATGTATAAAAAGTATTTAATATCATTTAATGTGCACTTTATTTGATTTCACAAAAAGACATATATATTCGAGCAAATGGATGACAAAGTAATTCTAATTTGCATATCCAATTGCGGCCCCATAATTTCCAGCATTGAACAATTGTCAATTCATGGCAGTTCAGCTAAGGGCAAGAAAGGCTCTTAACGTAGGACCTTAAATTCTGGACTTGCAAAGCTTCTATGTAATAGTAAGCATGGCAAGGATTACATCCACTGTGTCCCAAAAAGGAAGTGAAATAAAAGCATTATATGTCACTATCCATTCTTTGGCTCAAACATTTGATGAAAGACCCCGCAATTGGTGCATGTGGTTAATTATGTTGTGTTCAAAATTATGATCACCAGCTGTTTTGCAAAGCAGTAAACAGTAAATATAACAATTCTATGGATGTGACTCTAAAAATAGTTTATACCTACAAGAGTCTTTTTGGAAAATTTTACCACATAGAATCATCTTCAGTGCTTTTCTGAACCAGGGGTAGAAAAATGCATAAACCATTGGATTGAAAGTAGAGTTCAGGTAGCCACACCAGACCAATGCATCATTTAAGGTGGGTGGAATAGCATAGTCCAGGAAAGGGTCCATGACCATGCAGACAAAGAAAGGACACCAGCATATTAGGAAAACTCCCACCACAATCCCTAAAGTCTTTGCAGCTTTCCTTTCTTTGTTTTGTGACATTCCATTTTTCTCTTCCAATCCAACTGCATCATTAATTGATCTTGCCTGTCCTTGAGCTATGAAGTATATTCTGGAATAGACACACAACATAATAGATCCAGGTATATAGAAAGAAGTCATAAAGGCCAGTACCCCAGATGTTTTGCTAAAGAAGACAGAGCAACCTCCTATACAGTGAATGTACTTGTAATATATCTCTTCAGCTCCTTTGAAGTTGAGCTCCAGAAAGATCATTCCAAATGCAAAAAGAGCGGGGACACTCCAACTAATGAAGATCATCACAAAAATAACCAAGATACTGATCTTGGCTTTGTATCTCAGTGGGTCACACACGGCATAGTAGCGGTCAATGGAAATGAAGGACAAGTGGAAAATAGACGCCGAGCTCAGCATAATGTCAGTGCTGGTGTGAATTTTACAGAAGACTTCTCCAAAGTACCAGCCGTGCTCAACAGATCTCACCATACTATAAGGCATGACCAGGCACCCCAGCAGAAAATCCACGGTCGCCATGGAATGAATGAGCCAATTCGTTGGGGTATGAAGTTGCCTGAAGTGTGATATGGAAATAATGACTATCAGATTGCCAATGAGTGTGGTCAGAATTATGAGCACCATTAAACTGTACAGGGAAGCACGGACATCATTTGACCATCTGCTTTTCACACAAGAAATATTAATGACATTGTGGCAAAAGGACATCATTCCTGAGGGCTATCCACCAGCTTATTTCTTCCTTTGCGTGTTGAGGAATCTTTCTTCAAAATCCATACTCAGGTTAGAGTTTCTTCTTTGCTTTCCATAAACCTATTCTGGAAACCTGGGAGGGGAAAAAAAAAAGAGAGAGCGAATCATTGGCAATTTGATTCTTTTAACTTCTAACACATTTACCTACTACTTCTTGCTAAAAAACTAATCCTTTTTTTAAAATTTGTTTATTGTTTATTATTTTTGAGAGAGACAGAGAGACAGAAAGCAAGCAGGGAAGGGGCAGAGAGAGAGGGAGACACAGAATCCGAAGCAGGCTCCAGGCTCTGAGCTCTCAGGACAGAGCCCAACGCAGGGCTCGAACTCACAGACCGTGAGATCATGACCTGAGCTGTAGATGGCCGCCCAACCGACTGAACCACCCAGGTGCCCCCCCCCCAAATAGTTATTTTAGAAAGAGCTTTCATTTCTAAGCTTAATTCAATGGTTCAGTTCAATAATTTTTTTTAAACATCTACTTGATGTCGGATACTGTGCTAGAAATGAAAAGTTGAATTATTAGGTTAAAGTATATGAAACGGCACCTTTTTGAGGCCAGAGAAGGTCAAATGATGAATTCTTTATATGCTTAATCTATGGAAATAGTCTTTGTTCAAAAGACAGTCTTGAGGGAGAGCTTTATATTCTAAAGGGTAGATACAAGTTCCCAGAAATTTTAGAATTAGAATTTTAGAAATTTTAGAAGAAAAAGTGAAATATTTTACATGTGCCTCTTGTACACAGGTAATATCCCCTAGTGCCTCCTTTTGCACTTGATAATATATAAGTTCTTTCTTTTTTTTTCAATGTTTTTTTTTTTATTTTTGAGAAAGAGAGAGACAGAGCATGAATGGGGGAGGGGCACAGAGAGAGAGGGAGACACAGAATCTGAAGCAGGATCCAGGCTCTGAACTGTCAGCACAGAGCCCGATGCAGGGCTCGAACCCACCACCTGCGAGATCATGACCTGTGCTGAAGCTGGACGCTTAACCGACTGAGCCACCCAGGTGCCCCATATAAGTTATTTCTAATTATAGAATGAATTGCAAGTACATACCTTTACTTCCAGTTTGCAAAGCACTGAAATATAATATTCCAAGTGTTACGTCATTTAACATTTCACATCTACAATATAAACACTGTTCCTTATAAGGAGGACATGGCATGTTTTGTAAGTGTAATTATACTGGCAAGAAATCGAGGCTTAGTTCACGAAACCATTAAAGCTGGAATATGATCTGAGGTCTCAATTACTTGTACAGTTTCATCGTTACCAATCCATATTTTCTTTCCACGGCAGAAAGGACCAACACAGATGAATTATTTTCAAGAATATTAAGCTTTTAGTTTTCATGTGAGAACATAGGCTGTCTTGAAAAGTGGTACCCACCAGTGAAGTATTATGTTGTGGTCCAAAGTATTAGGGATTTTAAATATACGGACCAAAGTTATGGTAAGAAATGATGTGGCCCAGAGAAAAGACGGCTGAGGTGAGAAACCCAGGGAAACTGAGCTTCGGTGTGGGCTGTGGGCACGGCACTGGAGCCTGTTTTGGTTTTTTCTTTAAAGTTCTGAAACTGATTAAAAAAAATTTTTTTCATGCAATCCCAATTTATAAAACAAATAAAAGTAAAATCTTGTTAAAACAGAGATGGCACTTTCTTCTTCCTCATGCCTCATTAAAGAACCCAAGTCTCCATGAGACCGAGTTTAAAAATGTCCCCACTGTTTCTATATGATTCTGCAATTCTCAGCTAAATTCTGGAATTTTCAACATATTTTGAAATATATATGTATATATATATACACAAATATATGTGTGTGTGTGTATGTATACACACAGATACATATACACAGAAAGAGGGAGAGAGAGAGAGAGGGAGAGAAGAATGTGAATTTCTGCTGTCAATGAACAACCTGTCACTAGGTTGAAATGCTACAAAATAGCAACAAGCCTTAGAATTCCAGGAGTCTGTCATCGTTTCCATCTCCTGCATTTCCCTCTGGGCTGACAGTTTAGATCAAGACAACATAGAAATCTAAATGCATCCAGGGGTGCCTGGGTGGCTCAGTTGGTTAAGCACCTGACTTTGGTTCGGTTCAGATCATGATCTCGCAGTTTGCAGGTTTGAGTCCTGTGCCAAGCTCTGTGCTGACAGCTCAGAGCCTGAAGCCTGTTTCAGATTCTGTGTCTCCCTCTCTCTCTCTGCTCCTCCTCTCCTTGTGCGCACTTTGTCTCTCTCTCTGTCTCTCTGTCTCTCTCTCTCAAAACGAAATAAAAAAACCTAAATGTATCCAGAACTAGAATTGGAGGAATAAAATATTTAGGTACTAAAATGCATATTTTCATAAATTTGAAACACCTCTCCCCAATTCCTTCCTGCTCTCTATTCCCGGAAAGAAACATAGTTATGCCAAATGAATCTGTAAGATGCATTTCAACAGACACCCAGGCCTCTTCCATGACAGAACAAATAGCAAGTTACAACTAGTTAGGTTATTTGAACTCAGTAACATTTGAATTATAATTCAGATTTCACGAAAAGAATGATGGGTTTTTACTATGTAATTTAAATGTGCACCCAACTATACTCTATCACTTCAGTTATAAATCTTCTGCGTAGACTTTTCATCTATTTCCCCCTTTTCCTTCCTTCTTTTACGTATGCTTTTGACATATTAAAGGAATCAAGCAACACACGCTAATCACTGTTTAGAAATGTTTGCTAATTAGTTTCTGTCAGTCAAAATCACATCCTTACCTGATATGCTAAATACGGATTCAGAGTCCAAAAAGAAGTAAGGGAAGGGGGGGGGGGCGCAGGGGGAACAAACTTGCTGTTCGGTTTTTGAATATGAAATTCATGGAGGATGGAAAAGTCATCTGACAACTCTGTATACTTAGTTCTTTGTGAATCAAAATATTCGGTTCCTAGATACAAAACAAAGGACTCAGAGGCTTTCTTCTCATAGTTGTACATACTGGTTTCAGAGAAATAGAGTGTTAAGCACAATATCTTGGAAATTGTTGATAAATTAATGACACTTGAGTAGAAAAATTTTCCTGTGGGGCGCCTGGGTGGCTCAGTCAACGGTTAGGCGTCTGACTCTTGGTTTGGGCACAGGTCAGGATCTCACAGTTCGTGAGTTCAGGCCCCACATCAGGCTTT